CTATTTTTTTCCTTAGTTAGCTAATCTAAGCGTTTGTTAATTTTATTAGTCTTTAACAAAATTTAATTTTAAATATTTTTCTATTTTTATTTTATGTTTCATCTTAATTTACACTGCTTTTAAAAAAATATTTTCTTCATTTGTTGGCTTTGGATTTTATTTCTCTAATTCCTTGAGCTGTGAAGTGGGGTTTTGATTTGAAATACTTCGGGGGAAACTCCCCAGCAGTGTTTTTTTGTGTTTATTTGTGTTCTCTTATAGTGTGTTAAGTTTCTTAAAGACTCATTTTTAATTGTCAGGCAATCTGCACACTCCTTTTCTTTGGGATAATTCTCTAGAGATTTATTTTTTTCCTTTTAATTGGGTCATGCCTCTATGTTTCTTTGTGTGCCCCTTATTGTTTCTTGTTATTAATTTTGCACTGAAAAAACAATTGCCTCTTTATGGATTAGCTTTATACAAAAGCAGATCTTCAATCAGCTTAGGTAGAGATACTACTGGTTTCTCAAATCTTCAGTGAGGATCTATCTTCTCTAATTTTGTGTTCAGAATTTCTAAATTAGTAAAGTAGATTTTTTTGTCTTTCTCTTTCTAGTAACTGTATTCAGTGTATCAGATTAGTTTTATACGTCAACAAGCCATAAAGTTTCTTGTTATTCTGTAGCCTGAGACATCGACCAGCACTTTAATTCAGTTAGAATGGATGCCATACTCAGAGTAAGATTACACAGAAGCAGGAATACTGGGTGCAGATCATGCTCCTCTCTTCCCTCTAATGAGAGAGGATGCAAGTTGAGCTTGAATCTTGAACCAAAGGTAAAGGTAAAGGTAAAGGCCCTCCCGTTGATCGTCGATTTTGCTCGAGCGGGCCCAGTAACGTCTCCATTGGAGCCTTTGTTGTTACTGTGTCTGGCATATCGAATATGTCACGGGTAGCTTGCCAGGCTTGAACCAAAAAATGTAGTAATTTTGGAAATGAGATGACACAGTTGAAATAAATGACTTTTTTTACCTAAAAAATGCATTTCTTGGCTTTGAGCCTGCCTAGGATACTATGACCTGCTAACTAGTATATGTAGTTTACATAAAGGATTTATAGCACAGCGGGTAGGGCGTTCGCCTTACACGCGGCCGACCCGAGTTCGATTCCTCCGCCCCTCTCAGAGAGCCTGGCAAGCTACTGAGAGTATTCGATATGCCAGACACAGTAACAACAAAATCTCCAATGGAGACGTTACTGGGCCCGCTCGAGCAAATCGACGATCAACGGGAGGGCCTTTACCTTTACCTTTACTTTAGTGTATATTGGATAGTGGGTTCTGGGGTAACACAGTCTGATATTGCTATCATCACTTGCCACTGACCATATACCAGCATATTTTTCCATCCTTTACTTTCAACCTGATTATTCTATTTGAAATGAATATGCGTTTGTGTTTTGGTGCTGATTGATTCTGTCCTCAGCAGCTGTTACTCTGCTCCTGAGGCCTTCCAGTGAGTCTCTCATTTCCTCTACCAGGTTCTTCAGTTGTCTAATTTCTGTTTGTAGTTTTCTTATTTCTGCTCTCATATCCCATTGTTTTTTACTGGTGGTCCATTGTTTCTCTGAGCTGGTTAAATATCCTAAGAATTTACACTCTGAATTTTTTCCCAAGAGATTATATAAGGATGGAGATAGTCTTTTGGCTACATTAGTGGCCACTGCTTTGGAAAAAGGTGCCAACTCCTGACTTTTAGGTGGAACTTGTTTCCACAGCTCATTTGCTTTGTATATGGCGGCTATCTGGCCCAATGACCAGGGAGAGTGTAGCCTCAGGAACAGGCACTGACTCCTCCTGAAGTGAGTGTGGTTTATTTTTATATCTGGAGCATGAAAGTATTGGTGAATAAACTCAGAGTCTTACATGTACAATGCATGTGCTCTGTCACTGAGCGAAATCCTCATAAGTGTTTGTTTAAATAGGTCACAGATTGGTCATGTTTTTTAGTACAATCTGCAAAGTTGAACTGGTGTATTTAGACTATTTGTGTTTAATACAGCAATTAACAATTTACTTCTTAACTCTTCTATTTATTGTCTTGATTTTGATCTGTTACCTTCCTTTACATTTTTGGTTTACTTGAAATATTATTGTGATACATTTTACTATGCCAATAATGTCTCTAAGTATATCTTTGCATAATTCTTACTGACCTTTTAAAGTACATTGCTTTGTACATTTGGAGTATGTCACCATCTAAACTTTACCCTCTTCCATTTATAATTGTATGAAATATTTCCTCTATACCACAAAACCACATTAGACAACATGACTTTAATATTTCTTTACCCATCAAATAAAATTTTAAAAGCTCGAGAGAATTATGCTCTGAATATTTTATTTTATTTGTGCTGTTTTCTTTTCTAAACTCATGATATACCAAGAATGCTCCTCTTCTTCTTCCTTATTCTTCTGTTTTTTATGGGGTTAGACCCAGAGAATTATACACCCAAGGTCTACCACTTGAAGCACAATCCCCAACCTCAAGATTTATTCTTTTATAAATTTTTTATTTCCTGGAGTATATTTTTTCTGGGTTTGACTCTGGTTACCTAGATCTTTTCTTTCTAACCATAGAACATTTTTTAAAAATTTTTATTAGTGAGACATCATGAGGTACAGTTGAGGACTTACAAATTTTTGTGCTTGGGTTTCAATTATACAATGATCAAATACCCATCCCTCCACCAGTGCCCATTTCCCACCACCACGGATCCCAGTATCCCTCCACACTCCCACACCCCCCATCCCACCCTGCCAGGGCATTCTCTGGCAGGGCATTCCCTTTTGTTCTCTCTCTCTTATTGGGTGTTGTGGTTTGCAAAAGAGGCAATGGGTGACAATCATGTTTGGTCTATAGTCTACTTTCAGCATCCTTCTCCTATCCTGGGAGTATCCTCCCAACACCCTTTATTTGGTGTTCCTTTCTCTATCTGAGCTCCCTTTTCCCCTAGCACGTGTGGTTGGCCTCCGAGCCATGGAGTAAAATTCCTGGTACTAATCCTGGCCATTCTTGGGTGTTAGTCTCCTATTTTGTTACTTTATGTTCCCCAGATGAATGCAAGCTTTCTATGTCTATCTATCCCTTTCTTTCTGAGTCATTTTGCTTAACATGATACTTTCCATGAAGTACCACTTGTATGTAAATTTCGTGACTTCGTCTTTTCTAACAGCTACATAGTACTCCATTGTGTAAATGTACCAAAGTTTCTTTAACCACTCATCTGTTCTCGGGCACTCAGGTTTTTTCCAGATTCTGGCTATTGTAAAGAGTGCTGCAATGAACAAACAATTGCAGATGTCACTTCGACTATACTTTTTTGCCTCTCTGGGATATATTCCCAGGAGTCTAACTATAGAATATTTTCAAGTTTACTTTTGGCTTTCTTGGTTTCTGATAAGAAATAGACCTTCAGGTTGGGGAGATGAGTCAAAGGGCTAAAGCATATAGGTTGCATGTTAGGATCCTTATCTCTATTAAGGATCAAAAATGTTTAATCTCTAGCACCACATGGTATCCCCTGAGAAAGAAATCCACTATTATTCAAATGGACTTTCATAAGAGTAAAATGTCACTTCTCTCTTGGTGCTATGTAACCTGTTTAAAAATTTTATTTATTTATTTATTTATTTTTAAATTGAATCACCACGAGATACACAGTTACAAAGTTGTTCATGATTGGGTTTCAGTCATATAGTGTTGCAGCACTTGTCCCTTCACTGGTGTACATTTCTCACCATCAATGCCTCCTTTTGTCCTTGGTATTTAATGTTCAAGGAATACAATTGTCATCGGTTCTTGTTGATTTCTTATAGTTCTCTCTCTGCTTCTGGAATCTGTAGATTCAGATTCTTAGACAAAGTTGAGAAGCTTTCCAACATTATTTTCTTATCTACTTTTTCAACCTGGTTTTCTTTTTGTTTTTCTTCCTACTGGACTTCCACTGACAAAAAGGAAGATAATTTGTTTTTCTTCATCACTGCTGGACATTGGTGGGAATTCTTATTGCTTACATGATCTCCTCTGACACAGTTGTGGGGTTTCATATAATCCACCAGAGTTATAAGTTTGAGTTTTCTACTCAGCTCTTTTTATATTTCTCTTTTAAGGAAATTGTGAACCCTCCTACAACCTAATAAGCAGGAAAGTGTTAGTCCTTCATTCAGCCTTTGCTAAAACAAGCTGTGATGGAAATCAGTTTATTTCATATGGTTATTAGATGGGGTAGAGAGATTAGTTTAATGAAGTTTTTTTATTGCCAGCTGAGGCAATAAAAATTATCTTTAATTTTAATAAAATAAATTTATCTTTAATTCTGGGATATATATAAAGCAAAAAGAAAATCCAGAAAATTTACCTTATCATATCATTCATTCCCTAGGTCTTGGTAACTGTGGTCAGTCTGATTTCCTCTTTTTCCTTGTTTACGTTTAGTATATAATATCCAAGACTTTTAGTTGTAGGTTATTATAATCATAAGAAAAAATACATGTACTCCACAAATAGAATTATTTTTAAATTTTCATATGATTCTATGCCTCTACTTTTATTTATGCCTCTATTTCTATTTTCTATGCCTCTAATTTATTACCAATATTTGAACTTTGAGAGGGTTGCAATAGTAACATTTCTGATGCTGTAAGTATAAATTAAAGAAAACAGCTGATGGGGAAACAGAGTAGTGGTTCCTTTTATTTAAGGAATAAAAATATGCTGGTGAGGATTTTTCTATGACTAATTCACTGTGGTTTCCACAGGATTTCTACTGTTACTAATCTTAAGATTTTCCTCTGATTTTCTAAGATTGTTTTTAATAGCTTGACTCTTTCACACAAATTATAATCTTTCTATGACGGATTATATTACTGATATTGTTAATTTTCAATTATGTGAAAGTATAAAATTTTTGAATATTACCATTGATAACTAGATTAACTCACAAATTATATTTCACTTACCCAGTAATAATAATTTCTGGAAATGTTTGTGTTCCAAGGTTCCAAGCTCCTCCACTGACTGGCCACTCCTAGATAGATTTTCATGAAAAATTTTTAAGTTGTTTTAAAATTTTGAAATAAATTATATATTTAAAATTAAAGTATTTATAGACAACTACAAAAATTTCCCTTAAGACTAGTTATAATGAAGGATGCCATGTGTAGCTATCTTTAATTCTTTTAGCAAAATTTCAAATGCAGTTTAATCCCCTTTAAAAACATAGATTTTAACTATCACCATTTAATTTAAAATATTCTATATGTGTATGTATATGTAGTGCCTATACCTTGTATAATACATTGCAACAGTCATATAAAAGCTATGGAAATTGTAATTGGACCATCTTTTACAACTGTAAGTACTTAAATCTTTTAGTTAAGTACAGCAAAATGGAATTCAAGACAGTACTTAAACATTTTTGCATAACTATGAATTATTTATTAATCACATATTGCAAACATGATTAGCTAGAAGTAATTGACTCCATTGAAGTTCTTAAATCATTTGAAATAGACTTCATGTAAAATAAATAAAAGTTATCTTAGTCAATTTAAATATATATTTAATGTGTTAATGTATGATTGACAGTAAACATTTATATTATATATTTAGCATCTATAATTTATATTTCTATAAGATTAAAGCAGTATTGCATTAAGGAGCAAATCTCTTTTATAAATGCCAGTTTATGACATCAAGAGAATTTTTCAAATCTCATGTGGAATTTCAGAAAATGAATAATAAAATTATCATATGAATCAAGTATGACTACAAAAATTTAATTGCTATTTTTACCTTATTACTGTATCCTTGTTTTTTATGCTTGACTCCTGTAGAGTAGAGGACTAGTATCAAATCTGGAGGGCAATCAGCAAAATATGCTGTACATGTAACTGGTGATTCATGAATGTCCATGGGATATGGATTTTCAAAGATTGGAAAACTGATAGACAAAGACAATATATTATTGTGGTTTTACAATGAAAAATAACCATTACACAAATGGTAAAATACACAAAATATACATTTTTATATAATTTATGCCCGCTCAAGCAATTGAGCACATTTTTCTTTCCTGTTATTTAAACATTTCATAGTGCTAATGTAGTTAGAATGCATTATTTTTTATTTTATTTTTAATAAGGTAACATTTATTTACAAGAGTGCATATGTTTATATTTTAAAAGTACAATATTATCACCTTAAACTTACCACTGAGGTGCTAATGTCACTGTTATAGTCAATTAGACTCTTGCATGCTGTATATAACCCCTCTTTACATAGTTCTATATCAGAATATAAGGACTTATGTTATGTGCTGAAAATTGTTCTATTCTCTCATTACCAATGGTATAGAAGATAAGATTAGTAGTATATGCAAAATCAAGTGGAAAGTTGTGAGTTGTTCTAAATAAATGGGAAGTGGGTTAATTTGGACAGATCAGAGATTACTTGTTTCAAACTAGAAATTTCCAAAATTTTTAGATTTAATGTTAAAAGTAAAATAAATGGATCATCTTAATAATTAGTTCTAAAATTTAAGGTCTGATAACAACAAAAAGTTACATACAATAGCATTTTCCAGACCAAAGTGAACAATATCATGACAATATTTGGGAAGATTTTTATTTTAGTGTCAAAGAGTAGGAAAAATATTTAAAGTGCAACAATAACTCTTAAGGTATCCTAGGAATATATAAATAGTACGCAGTGGAAATGTAAATAAAGATATAACTTAAGGAGAAACAAAGAGAAAAAGCTCCCTAAATTCTAATGCTTGTTTTAAGATGATTAAATAAATGAAAAAAATAGAAGGAATGAATTTGAGAAGGAGGCCAAAAGGGCAACTTGGTTGATTAAAATTGGCAGAAAGGTAATTATATAGAGAGAATAAGAATATATTCAGTTTGATACATAATTTCTTGTCACAGACAACAAAATAGAAAGTCAGAAGACTATACTGAAGGTAAACTATTAGTGAAAACATTAATATTTGTTAAGTTAATGAAAGTATAATAAATGAATAAAATGGTGAGTTATGTCATATTTTACCATAATAAAATTTAAGAATAAATATACTGATAAAAATTATTAAATTATACTCCACCCACTTAAGGATAATAGATACATGGGACAGGAGGATTGGTCCACAGCTGGAAACCTGCTTCATGAGCAAGGGGAGAAGGCAGCTGGAAAAGAGAAGGGATCACTAAGAAAATGATGGCCTGAGGAACCGGTCAGGATGGGAGATGTGTGCTGAAAGTAGATAAAGGACCAAACATGATAACCTCTCAGTGTCTGTATTGCAAACCATAATGTCCAAAAGTAGAGAGAGTATGGGGAATATTATCTCCCATGGAGGCAGGGGGAGGTTGGGAAAGTGGGGTATATTGGGGATATTGGTGGTGGGGAATGTGCACTGGTGGAGGGATGGGTGTTTGATCATTCTGTGATTGTAACTCAAACATGAAAGCTTGTAACTATCTCACGGTGATCCAATAAAATTTTAAAAAAATTATAGTGGATCTTGGAAGATGATAATGAAACAAGGTGTGAAGAACCAAAAATATAAATAATACCAGTAAAATAATTGAGATATATTGTACATATTTATTTATTTTAAGTTTTGTTTATTTTTATTTGTAACTGTTTTTTGTGTTATCATTGTTTACAATAGTAGCAAGGTAATTATTTTATAGTTTTGATACTATATAAATCTCCTATATCTAGTGTTTTAAGATCTAAGAAATTCATTTCAATAACCTATCAGAACTTTAAGACGTCTTAGTAAAAGAGGCCTAAATCCACACATTTACACAAAGTTTTATCAAGTTTGATACTAATAGAGAAGCCATGGAGAATATAATGATCTTACAGTCTAAATCTGATATCCTTTTCAAAATATAGTGTATTTTTCTAATTAGCTTAAAATATACTTTGCCTCATATTTACAGCTACATAAAAAGTAGAACTCAGTTATAATAATTTATTCAATAAAATGTATCAAGGTCATACAACATATGTGGACAAAAATACAATACATGGGTCTTACAGTCTAGTAGGAATAAAGGAAGACAATTTTCATAACAAATGGAAAATAGCATCTGTGTCAAATGCTCTAAGGAAAAGTTGAGAGTAATGATAGTCTTAATAAGCTACTAGAACAAACTACATAAGTAATGAAATATTTTATTTTTTAATGAATAAATGATACTTGGTTGAGATATAAGGAGAAAAAGGAAAGACTGTTCCATGCAAAGAAGAGAAAATGTATAAAAGTTTTGTAATATAAGGCAGCTAAAGAAAGAGCATTGGGTCTGCAGCATAGAATGAGGGAACTATAATGATCATCTCTGTAATGAACATGTGTAGCAGGGAGATAGTGTTCAGTGATTTCCAATTTATTTTTGTTACTGTCCAGATGAGGAGTGGCAAGCACCACTCCTCTGAGATTTTACTCCTCTGTATTGTCAAGTACAGTGTATAATGATACTTTTACCATAAACCATTTCCCTTGTTAGTAGACAAATAGATGGCCAAATTTTTACAAAACAGTATTTCACCTAAAGAATATTTATCATCTAGATACTAATGCCAGTGGCCTAAATTATTTTCCTGAATTTTAATTGTAACAAATAGTATCAAAATGGGCTGGAGCGATAGCACAGTGAGTAGGGTGTTTGCCTTGCACGCAGCCAACATGGCCAACCCGAGTTCAATTCCTCCGCCCCTCTCTGAGAGCACGGCAAGCTACAGAGAGTATCTCGCCCACATGGCAAAGCCTGGCAAGCTATCCGTAGCCTGGCAAACTACCCGTGGCATATTGATATGCCAAACACAGTAACAAGTCTCACAATGTTACTGGGCCCGCTTGAGCAAATCGATGAACGATGGGAGGACAGTGACAGTGACAATATCAAAATAGTGTATACATGTATGTATATAATAGAAAACTTACTTGCTTTGTGTCAGATCAACTACAATGAGATCTTTCTCCAGAAGTACTGCAACAGCATAGGGTTCTTGAAATTCTACAAGTAAAAAGAGATAAGGTTTTTATATACACATTTTATAAAATCACCAAATTTCATTTTATCTCCTATATAAATACTACTTAATTGAGAAGGCTAAAATATAAGTCAACATTAGAAGTAACAAAGAACATTCAGGAAATTATATGTGTACATATACTGTGTTTCTCAAAATTAATGTTTAATACAATTTTACTGACCAAAGACAAATGAGAGACTACATAGTATAGAGTTAAATACATTTTAGTAACATCACGTGGGATGATTACAGTGGATTATTTGAAGTGAGCCCATTACCTCCATCTGAAGTACATTTATCTTCCATAAGTACAGGTTATTAAATAGTTCAAATTATTTTAAATAATTTCACCTAATGCTTGAAAGATTAGTTAACTGCCAATAGAGATATTTGGAGTTATACCTAAAATTTCCCTATTGGCAATCCCTTGACTGGATTTTTTTCTTGCCATAGGCCTGGGTTCTAATATCTTCTGCCTTCTGGATAACCATGGGCCCTCTCGGGTCAGTCTGGGTGCCACCTCTGTGCCCTGTATATTAGTGACCTGTTCTTACCACACTGTATGAGCTCTCTCCATGCTATGAATCCTTATAATTGGTATTGACCACTCCCTGCTGAAGGGACCCTGCTACACATCAGGGAACTCAGGGTTCCCTAGCCACATTATTGGTGATGAGATGATGCTAGGTGAAGCACTGTGCACGCATGAGTATATCTTCACAAATAGTGCAAGTGTATTTGTGTGGGGGAAGGCAAGAAAACCTGGAATTCATCCCTGGCTTATGTGGAATCTGTCTTTAAAAAGAGTTGACTGCTCTTCTTTATGAAGAACACAAGAGGAGCTGGAGCAACAGTATAGCAGGTAGGGCACTTGACTTGCACATGACTGTTTTGGGTACGATCCCTGGCATCCAATTTGGTCCCCTGAATCCACCAGAAATAATCACTGGGTGCAGAATCAGGAGTAACTTCTGAGCACTGACAGGTGCTAAAAACAACAAAAAGAACATAGGAACAGATAGTGCACAGATCAAGCCCAGTAGGGAGTTATTATGGCACATTCATTTCCAGAAAAGGATTCTGAACCAAGAACAGATCCTAGGCTTATATTAGGTTCTGTTTCTTTAGTCCCTGTTTGTCTCTGACTCCATCATTCTGCAGTTTATTTGATGGTGTCTAAGTATTCTAGTCTTTCTAGACTAAAAGTTTTACAAAGGCAAACATTAAACACTAAAACTTGTGTTTGTTTAGTGCTCTATTTTCTGAACCTAATGAAATACTTGGAGTTATTAGGCATTTGAGGACAAGTAATTGAATCAATTGTTTTTTAGTGAGTCCCCCTGTAAGAGAATGCAGCCTACAATGGGAATGAAGTAGAGATGGGCCACCTATCTAGAAAACTGCCTAGAACTTATGGAAATAAAGTTACCATGAGAAGCACAGGTAGCCCCACTGCTCTGCTCTGTACCAAAGACCTCAGGTCCTCTGAACCAGCTGTCCCTGAATGCTATTTGCTTTGATGTAAGCTCTGGAGCTTGTGCTGCAATCACTTGAAGGTAGAATCTGGCCAGATGTTAAAAGGAAATGGGTAGGAGTAGACCTTTGTTTTTTGATATGCTAAGGCCCATGACCTGTCACCTCATTCAAAGTACATCATAGTACTGAAGAGGCCGAGCTTCTATAACATAAATCTGGTTGAAAGAATGAGGTGATCATTTTTGGCTAAAGAATCTAATTCTTCAAGGTAAATTCTTCATCTAGAAATAACCTGCGGCACTACTGGTTTCTCATTGTGTCTCTGCTACTCTCACGATTATAAAATAACTATAGTGCTGTAATGTGGCTAAGTAATGACTAACATGGGTGAGATTCTGGACTAGAACCTAGGTATTACACAAATAAATAAAATGGCTTACAAAATCAGCATGACTTTCTGTCCAAAAGCCCTCCAACTCAATTCCTTCTCTAAGAACATAGGAAATTACTTTATATTTTTATTGACTGATGGAAATGGTGATTATGGCAAAGATAAATGTATTGTCATTATTTTCCTATAGACATGTTTCTAATCCCCATTCTCTGCAGACATGGCAGTCAATGGGTAGAGAAAAGGAAGAAATAGAGAATTTTCTATGAAGAGAGCCAACATCTGGTAAACTATCAAGGCTCACTCTCCAGTTATGATTGTGACTTATTTGCAACCTTGCTTAGATTCTTGGGCAAGTTCCTTTCTCTATAAAAATGTCCACAACTGTTTTTAATGCCAGCTAGGCAGCAGCAATTTCAATGTATCCAACAGATTTTATTATAATTTCTCTGCTGAAGATCCCCCTTCTCCATTTTTCCTCTTTCAGAAGCACCTAGCTCAATTTCTGAGATGGTTGCCAATGAAAAGGTTGTGAGATGGTTGCTGAATACCACACTGAAGTACTTTTGCTTTCTGAGAACCTCTTGGGTGTGGATAAGAATCTGGGGAAGGAGAGAGGTAAGAATTTGGTCTTTTGACATGGATATTTAGGTGAAGGTATAGACCTCTGCATTGGAAAAATAGGTGGTGGTGGAAAAGTTGGAATATAGTTATATGTTAGGACTACAGCATTTCTCCTCAGAACAAAGTATGTTAAGATACTCTGATCTTAAGTGAAAATAATAGGCAAGTTTCTTATAAAGAAAACTGGTCTGTTGGCTTTGGCAGACGTTTTCTCAGAGGATTTATCTTTTTCTCTCTCTGTGTCAGCCAGATATCAGGTACATGTAACAGGGCAGTGGGAGAACCAGGGATGGAGCTACAAAGATTATGCATTAGTTGCTTCCTGGGTTTCTAATCCATCTCACTCCTACCAGTTTCAACTGCATCTAGGTAGGCAGGCTTTCATTAAGTGGAATTCACTAACTGGAATTCATTAAGTGGCTGGAGCATTAGAATCACAGCATACGGTTACCTGCACCTTTCCCAGAACTGGCTGGATTAGGATATAGTCATAACCACGTAAGCTATTAGCAGCTCTGAACCATATGCCCTGTGACTCATTCCAGGCCTTCCCTGATTATATCAGCACCATGCAATGTGACATTAGAATATATTTCAGATATAGCTTCATGTCTAAAAAGAAATATTTTTTAGGAAGATAGTTGCACTTTAGAACTATAGGAGACTGAACCTAAGAAAATGATTCTGCTTCACTGGACTATTGCATATATTCACTTTTCTTTGAAAGTCGTATTTAAAAAATTTCTTTCTAGTCAATGTAATATGTCTGCAAAAGTAGCCTACAATGTGCTCAAGAGTATACAAATCTAGTATAATATAGGATTTTCAAATCTTTAACATTTAACCCTCTTAACTCCCACACGTTCCACTAACTCTTCTAAAAAGAAAGTAAAAAAGTATAATATTTACAAGGTCCTTATTCTCATGGAGCTTATATTATAGGAATGTATTTCAATCATTAAAATCTAACCAAACTAGACCAATAAAAATCTTCCTTAGGTGTGGTAGATTCAGTTTTATGTCTATTATTTTTTAACAATTAAATGTTGGGTAAATTTGTTAACTTCTTTGAACTTCAATTTCTTTGCCTATTGAAAGCAACAAAATAACAACTATAGCATACTTGTGAACTAGATATATATGAAAATGTTTAATGAAAATATGACATGTAATAGCTTTTAATTGTATTGCTCACTTTATTAAGTTGACTAATTTATTTTGAGCATTTTCTTTTTACCATCCCCCAAGAAGAAAACCATCTACCATAAAAACTACTTATGAAAAGAGAAATTATTATTTATGAAGTTTGTAGAAAACTAGATATGAAGTTGACAAAGCTTGAGTATAGTTGGTTAGATAAGAGCATTTAGACATTGTGTTCTTTAAAAAATGCTGAAGTTAGAGGTTTCATATTATTCAACAATATTAAAAAATATTAATAAATGTATTTTCTTTAACATATATGTAACATTTATACTTATCCATCTCTAAAGAATTAAAATTCAATAATTGTTATTAAAGTATCACAATAATCTATACTATTAAGTGGAAATAGCCTATAATACAAACCAATACATAGAGTATACTTCTATGTTTACAAAACAAATTATTTATATACACATAAATGAGTTTATGTGTACATATGCACAGATTATTTAAAAGACAATATGCAAGAACCAGTAACAATGATTAATTCCAGAAGGAAATTAAGAAATTTCTTATCATATACATCACATTGTACATTCTTTACCATTTTCATGCATTATTTGTTTATAGTTAATAAAATACGTTTATATTTTATGAATAAAATTAAGTCAGTTCTCTTAATCCTGAAAACACAAAAGTTCCACCCACTTAATCACTTCTATGAAAAACACATATATAAGTACATGTAAGTATATATGTGTGCTTATGTATGTGGAATTTATAAGACTTAGTTATAGTACAGTTATAATTAACATTAAAAATTGTCTTTGTTTTTTATCATTTCAATTTAGAAATTATCTTGACATCTCTATTGATATACAGAACTTTATGTACACATGTAATGTATTTGTTTTGTATAAAAACTATACATTTTCACTATTACTGGCATACACATCTTTTTATCTAGGTCCTCTTTTTTTGTGCTTTTGTTTGGTTTGGGGTCAAGACCTGGTTTTGTGCTCAAGGATCATATCCAGGTCAGCCACATGCAAGGCAAGTGCCCTACTGGCTGTACTATAGGCATTTTCCCTAAACTAAGATTTTGGCTCTATGTTCATTCCTTTATTCCTTATTCCTTTAAGATTCATTCTAATAATGCCAAAAGTAACTGTAATCTGATGATTAATAAATTAATACTAAAGACCTTTATCTTTTATTCTATTCTGTTAACAACTCTGTTTATTCAAACTTACCGTTCAAAACTGTAATTTCTCCATATGAAACCATCATTCTTAAAATACATAGTTTAATTTTGATTAGCCTATTTTGTTACTCCCTAACCCAACTGACTAAATTCTGTAGTTTCCTCTTTCAGTTCTATAGACAGCACTCTGATTAAGATCTTGACTTTTTTATTATACATCACCATAAAATTTTCCTACCTGGACCTTTATATTTAGATAAAATCTGAGTTTATATTTCAGTTTCACTCACTTAAAATTCATAGTTTGTTTTTTAAAAAAATGTTATTCCAAACACTGGTTTGTTCTTAATACTCATTTAAAATCCCTCTGTAACTCTATATTTCCAAAGATATGCAAAGGTATTTAAGGTTTTTTTTTTATTTTTCTGAATAGATTTCACACGAGAAAATTGCACAATTTTTAAGATTCTCCTCAATTTCCTTTTCAAGATCCAAGACATTCTTCAATTGTTTACATCCTGAATCCTTTCCCATGATTCTTCACATAAACATTTTAGCTATTGATTATCTAATTAGCCTATGAGTGCACTCATAAACTAATTAGTTTATGAGTACTTATACTCTGACCCATAAAATTTAACACTGAATTTTATCTCCTATCTGTCCAGATATTATATAAATTGACATCAGCGATCACTTTCACTTATTATATTTTCTTAAAGAAGCCATAGAGGCAATAAAGTATATAATAAACATTTATTGATTAATTAACAGCTATATAATTTGCTATAGAAATAAAGTGCTATCTTGATTGTCATTTTATATCATTTTATATGAAATATATCTTATTTAGATATATCACTGTGCCAAAGTTACATGATTATAAATGGCAGAGCTAAATCACAAGCCCGTAATCTGCCTCCATGTCTAGTATTCTTTCTTTATATATCCCTTGAAAATGTAGAAAGTGTATTCCACAATGTTTTAATCATAAATATTATTTTGCTCTCTATGCCTTATTCTTAATTTTAAGATTTGATCACTGAAATATCATTAGATTCCATTATGTAATGTTCATAGGTTTAGACTATATAAACATCACTACTCTCAAAGGCCTTTCTACAAAGTATTCTTAAAACTTAAATAAATCTGTAATCACACATTAGCAGTCAATCCTAGGAAATCAGAAGTGCTGCAGTTGCATCTGAAGACAGATTTGAAACAGATACAGCACCACCAGTTATAGATCACTGTATCAGGGAAGTGCTTTAACTTTGATTGGCTTTGGAATGGGATGGGTGGAGCTGGTCTAAGAGAGGCGTTTAGGAGACCTCAGTTTCCCCAAGCTATTTCACCCTGGACCCCTATTGGACCCTCCCAGCTCAGCTTCCACCATCCTTATCAAAGTTTAAAGCACTTACCTGATATTAGAACCTGAAACACCAGCTCTGTTGTACTATATCTCTCTTATTTCCAGTTTGTCAAGTAGATACAGTTGTAGAACCTGATCCTCAAAGAACTTGTAGCACACAGTGTTGTACCACAGTAGATGTCAGCTGCCAAAACTAAAAATATTTAACCTTAATTTTGTTAGGTACTTATCATTTCAAAAACTATTTTTAACACTACCACTTTTGTTTCACTTACCATTTGGATAGGGTGTTTCACATAACGTTAGAAATTCAACAATAGGGTGATCCATTTCAAGTACTGTAATTGCTTTTCCATGCATGATGGTTAAACTTGGTTTTCTGCAAGCTTTGTCATAGGACAGTCCGCCAGAAAATATTATAAAAGGTTCACTGCATAGAAAAAAACAGATTAAGAAGAATGGGAATTAATTCCTTCAAGATTCCACAATGTTGTAGAACTGAGCCAATAAGGAACAAGATTGGAGATTATCTGCAATATAATTTGTCAGAAAACAAAAGTCTTTCCTAGTACAAAATACTGAAATAGTTTACTATGTTATCATTTCTATTTTTCAGGCTATTATATTCTCAAGATTAAAATACTAATGAGTCATTATAAAGGTAAGCAGAAATAGGAGAAGAAATCCACTTTCTCTTTTTGAGTGAAAAAATTAGAAAATATGTCTTTTTAAGTATTGGGAGGTAACAAAACTCTACTGTCATTATAACTGCATCACTAGACATTGGTTCTGAAATTAATTAATGTTATATCTGCATATCTTATAAGCTACTGACTGATTTAATAAAAAAATTTCTCTGGAAAATACTCAGAGCAGTAGCACAGCGGGTAGGTCTTTTGCCTTGCATGCAGCCAACATGGCTGACCCAAGTTCGATTCCTTCGCCCCTCTCAGAGAGCCTGGCAAGCTATCGAGAGTATTTCACCCGCATGGCAAAGCCTGGCAAGCTACCCGTGACGTATTCAATATGCCAAACACAGTAACAACAAAGTCTCACAATGGAGATGTTACTGAGCCCGCTCGAGCAAATCAATAAACAACGGGAGGACAGTGACAGTGACAGAGAATTATATTAGATATTAAATTATTAAGTCATAAAAACTAATATCATTATTTTATTTTATTTATTTATTATTTGCTCGAGCGGGCCCAGTAACGTCTCCATTGGAGACTTTGTTGTTACTGTGTCTGGCATATCGAATACTCTCGGTAGCTTGCCGGGCTCTCCGAGAGGGGCGGAGGAATCGAACTTGGGTCGGCCATGTTGGCCGTTTGTAAGGCGAACGCCCTACCTGCTGTGCTATTCTCGGAGAGCCCGGCAAGCTACCGAGTGTATTTGATATGCCAGACACAGTAACAACAAAGTCTCCAATGGAGACGTTACTGGGCCCGCTCGAGCAAATCGACGATCAACGGGAGGGCCTTTACCTTTACCTTTTATTTATTATTAGTTAAACACCTTGAGGTACAGTTGTAGACTTACAAATTTTTGTGCTTGCGTTTCAATTATACAATGATCGAGTACCCATCCCTCCACCAGTGCCCATTTTCCACCACCACTGATCCCAGTACCCCTCCCATCCCCTGTCCCCCCCATCCCACCCTGCCTTTGTGGCAGGGCATTCCCCTATGTTCTCTCTCTCCTTTTGGGTGCTGTGGTTTGCAAAAGAGGCATTGGGAGGCGATCATGTTCGTTCTATAGTCTACTTTCAGCATGCATCTCCTATCCTGGGAGGATCCTCCCAACACCCTTTATTTGGTGCTCCCTTCTCTATCTGAGCTGCCTCTTCCCCCAACATGTGCGGTTGGTCTCCAAGCCATGAAGTGAACTTCCTGGTACTTATCTCGGCTATTCTTGGGTGTCAGTCTCTTATTTTGTTAATTTGTGTTCCCCAGATGAATGCAATCTTTCTATGTCTGTGTCTCTCTTTCTGACTCATTTTGCTTAGCATGATATTTTCCATGTAGTACCACTTGTATGTAAATTTCATAACTTTATCTTGTCATTATTTTATTAACGAAGTTAATAACAACTAAGCAGAGCAAATAGGTGAGGCTTCAAAGTTATACTGTCTATATTATCTGTCTATACTGCATGTAAATATTATAATTTTAATAAATGTTACAATATACTGAATACCATATAGTGTACTACTTGTATATATAAATTTTATGTGATCTTTATAATTTTTCAATTTTCAGTCCTTATGAAAATTCAGTCATTATGAAAATAGCCTCACTTCCAGATAGGTATTCTATGATCAGTGCAGGTTAAATTACTCATTCAGGGCAAAGCAGTTAGGTGAATGGTAGTACAAAGATTCAATCCAGAATCAAATTTAAATTTTTAAAATTTATAATCTAGTTTTATTCAAACTGTGAGATAAAAATTAGTGTTATCAAACTTGAAATTTGTTGATAAGCATTTTAAAATCATTCTTTAAAATATTATAACTTGTATATATAAAGATATATGTACATATATTAACATATAAAATAAATCATAAAATCAATTAATATTTTCACAAATTAATCAACTTGGAGTAAATTTCAGTCTCCATGGATACACTGAGTGACTGACTAAAGAAACATAGTTTGGTAAATACTGTGCCAATCTAACCTGCTTCTTTTATTACTAAAGTGTACTTGGGATGAAATAAAAATATAAACTATATAACATAATATATCCAAGTAAAAATAAATAATACTGAAATTTAATAAAGCTCAAGGGTTTATGTTGAATAAATGAAGTTATGTTCAAAAGGTTACACATATAATTGTAATTATATGATACACTGAAAAGGCAAAACCACAGTCATACAGAATATCATTGTCTTCAGGAGTTAGGAATAGAAGAAATGTACGACTATACAGGATAGCTTGAGAGGATTTTAAGGGTATGGAAATGTTCTTTATATTTTCTGTGATGACTTCAAGAATCTGCATATGTTATGATCCATAAACTGAACACCAAAAAACAGAGCCAATTTTACAGTAAAATTTGTATAAAATATAAGCATCTATATTAAAGAAATTAAAAGTTTGGTTTGTTGAGTTTTTGTACTATATCTATCCATATTCTTCTGACTTGTAGAGTCGATTTGATAGATCAATTGTACATCTTATGGGCTTTGCTTTGTTTATGTTACTTTTTTTTTTTATCTTACTGCTTTCAATATTCTGTCCCTATCTTTAGATTTTTGTTATTTTGAATATAATGTGCCTTGAAATTTTCCTAATTGGGTCTATTTTCACTGGGAATCTTCAGGTCTCAATGAATTGAATGAACCCAATGAATTAAATACTCTATCCAGCTAGATTATCATTCAAATTTGAATGAACTATATAGAGCTTCATGGATTGGCAACAGCTCAGGGAATTAATAGCCTTGAAACTAGTTTTGCAACATGCATTAAAAGAGCTTCTTTAAAAGCCAAGGAAAATTTCCCATAATGTGGTATTGAATGTTGTATACAAATTTTCCTCTATTAGATTAAGAAAGGTTAAAACCATATAACAATTAAAATCATCACAATTTGACTTTCATTGATTTACTTTCTAATAATCCTATTTTTTATTGTTTTAAGTTTTTTTTGGACCAAGTAACTTGAAATAAATTTGCTATATGATCTGACAAGGGGACAAAATAAAAGAAGCTTCATTTATGACAGGAAAGATGTGGTCACCACAATAAAGTTTAAGTACAAAATAAATCATAATGCAATATGTTTTAGAAGCCAGAGTTGAAAACCCAGTTATGTAAATAAGAACAGGAGGTATACTAAATTGTATTAAATAATTTGAATTGTCTTATTTACATACATTAAAGTATTATAGCAATTAATCACTAAAATTGACGTGTTTATTCCTATACTGGTAATTCTATTGCATTAAGTTCTATTGAAGCAAGAAATATGAGAAAAATTTGTTATATGCCGGCCAACAGGGCAGGCTGGGGGATGGCAAGGACCCTCAGGGACACTGGTGGTAGGACTGGAGTTGCAACATCGTATGCCTGAAATAATCTATTATGAACAGCTTTGTAAACCATAGTGTCTTAATAAAAATGAACTTTTTAATATTTTAAAAATGAAAAGCTTGCCTTAATGAAGAAAAATGAGTAAACACACATGTGTAATAGAATTCATAATGAACTGTAACATTGGTTGAACATTTACAATGTTCTAAGCAGAATTTACAATTTAGAATTCTAGAATGAAGAATTTCATATGCATTGTTTTATTTCTTATTAATATCCTAATGATAGAACTATTATTGTACCCCACTTAAAATATGGTAAATGGTATATAGGTTTGAAGAACTTAACTATATATGAATATTATATTAAGTATCCATCATAAGAAGAAATTTAAAAACTATCAGAAATTACTTTTGTTAGTTATAAAAACATGATAAAGTTAATGATAACAAGTATCAATATCAATATTACTCTTCCTTAAAAGGATAAAATAACTTTTGTGAAGGGAATTCTCCTGAGAGAAGGTTTTAGTTGTAAGGATTTTGTTGTAAGTCTCTCTGAGAATCTTCATTCATCTCTAAGAGGACTTCAAGAAAATAATCACACAAAGTTAGTGTGACTGCTATTAAAGAGATGAATAGGTAAGACTTTGGGTACTTTCAGGCATGGCAGAATAGAATTCAGCAAGCAATGTTCCCCCTCTAAGGCACAACTATATATGTATGTGTATATATATATGTGTGTGTGTGTATATATACATATATATATAGAGAGAGAGAGAGAGAGAGAGAGCACTTTATAGCACTGTCCTCCCATTCATCGATCTGCTTGAGCAGGCACCAGTAACATCTCCATTGTGAGACTTGTTACCATTTTTGGCATATCAAATACATCATGGTTAGCTTGCCAGGCTTTGTCATGTGGGAGCAATACTCTCGGTAGATTGCTGGGCTCTCTGAGAGGGGCGGAGGAATTGAACTAGGGTCAGCCTGGGTTGGCTGCATGCAAGCCAAGCACCCTACCCACTGTACTATTGCTCACAGGAAAAACTTCACCAGCTCACAGAATATATCTTTGTACATGAAGGTTGGTGACTATGGTGCACTATACTAAAGGAGTAGGGATCTAGTAAGTAATTCCCAACCTAGTGTACTGTACCAACAACTGCCAAGTTGTTGTCTGACCTGACCCTACTAGGGGAGGAGAGTTTATGAATATACCACTTACGTTACAGTCCCTAACATTAGTGAATTTACTGCATTGCTCGCAAAATCTGAACTCTGGGACCAAAAATTAAGTCCTGGTGTTTAGGAGTACTAGCTGAGTCATTTGACTGTGGTTCACAGGCATAAAATGGAAATGAATACTTTTTGCACAGATAGGGCTTTGGTA